GTGGTGATTTTAATTAACTAGGCACCACTGATCTCCAGGCACAGTTTCTAATTTCACAAGATCAGAACGTTCCGGGGACAATCAAAACACTTGTGACATTATTTATCTTAAATGATCCTCTTCCCCTTATGAGTTATATACGCTATGTATCACTTATATCATTCAGATATTTTAATTATATGGTTGGTGTGTTTGTTAATAAACCATTATTTATTATTATTACGCATGCATGCACATGTACAACTCAGAAGCAGTAATTGCTGCCCCACCCCAGTAACCAGAGCCACAGTCAATGACGGCCGATATTGACACAATGCAACATCACCAGCCATGATAGTTCCAGAGCTACCCAGCAACGTTTAGACGGGAGGGAGGGAGGGAAAAAGGTTTGTTCGATCGCCAGGCCTTCACTTGCCTTGGCTCTGGCTACTAGGAGGGTAGCAATTACGGCTTCTGACTGTACTGTACACACTCAATATGGTGCAATATGGCCGATTTAGTTTATACAGGGAAAATAACAGATGAAACCAGGTTGATGTGAATTTTTTAATGATGGTTAATAACTTACATCAAGAGTAGATTTTGAAGATAGTTGTTAAGTCTTTGGAAACAGTCACCAGTAATAACATGATACAGTATGTGTTTTGGGTAACCATTTTGTGATATCCAAGAATTTTGTTGATTGGACCGTGGTTCTAAATATTGCTCAGCTGGCTCAGTTCCAGTCATAGGTTATTCTTTGTTTAAGGTTATCAGATTGTTACATAATATCAAGTACTAGATTGACCTGGACTTGCATGTGATTAAACTGGCGGTAATCTCTTTAATTTGCTCTTTAAGATAGTTATAAAAATTTTGTATGAAATAACAGATCCTCCAATAGTTATCCTTGCTTGAGATTACCATAAGTTATACTAGCTTATTTATTAGATAAAATCTGTATGTTAATATGCTATTTTATTCAAGAAAAAATGAAAGTGTACTACAGTTTTTTTTAGGCAGATCATGACCAGTACTATGTGATGAATAAGCCAAGTCGTTGTCCAAATCCTGAAGAATGTTATTGCAACAACTTCACCCCTCTTGGAGCTTCCTCACATCCTCTGCATACTAAAGACTATCAAGAAATCAAAATTCAGGTAATGGTTATCTTTAGTCATATGGTGAAGTTATTCACAAAATTCATTACAGTATTTTATGTTGGCTGTTCCTCATGTACATTAATTCTAAGCTTTGAATAGTTCAGCTTCTCCTTTGTTTATTTTTGGCATTATTTTCTTTCTTTAAGTTTCGATTTATATATTTAAATATATTTTTTAAAGTACAGTATCTGAATATTCTTTAATAGTCTACAATATCTTCAAATATCACACAAAAAGGGTTTCAGATCACCGTTACACTCTGTCAGTTTACTTAGAATATGTTTTTAAATTCATTATAGTAACACAACCACACTACAAGGAGTCCCCAGTCATTGTCATATATTGTAACTTAGTGGTCACAGGGGTCCAGATCTGGAGAGTATGGAGGGTGGGGGGCCCCTGGGATGCCATGCTGTTTCCCAAGTTCAAGTTGAACCTCAAGGGGAAGAAGATCATGGACAGAATGGAGATCCAGGACACATGGCAGAAGGTGTTCTCCAGCCTCACCAACAAGAACTTCCAGAAGTGGGAGGAGGGGATTGAGCACTGTATTGAGGCCTCTGAAGAATTATCTTTCAAAACCTTTTTAGCAGCTTCAGTTCGGGCCCCTTTAGTTCCTGCATTCAAATGCATCATCTTCACCCTTACAAGTAATCCTGATCACAATCTTCCTCTAGTTATCTTGAACAGTACATTAGAAATTGCATCATGATTGCATTAGTCAATTTCGTCACCATTGACTTGTCTTCATCACCTGATGCTTTCAGCATTTCTACAACTACAGTATCCCAGAGTTTCCAGCCACCGTCAGCTGCTTTCTAAAGCTACCCTTTTTCTTTCAATCCTTGGGCATGGTTCCTGTACTGGTTTTGTTAACCCCTAGGCTGCTCCTCTTCCATTCATTCTCCTCATTCAGTAATTAATTGAAGTATTTTCTCCAGGCATCTGTGATTTCCTCATTATCAACAACCACATCACCATGGTCATTTCTCACACACTGCTCACCATCAACATCCTTGTTTCTACCCACTGTTTGCTTTGTTATTCTGAACACTCTCCTCTTGCCTCTGCACTGTTTAACCAAAGCTACAAAAATATAAACAGGGAGTAATATCTCTTGTTTTTGTCAGCAGCAAAAGTCTCGAAATTTTTTTTGGATATCTTCTTACCACCTTCCTACTACAGTATTACCCCGCTTTACACGGTTTCACTTTCCGCGATTTCTCATTTACGCGGTACCTTGCCAGAACCGGACTTTCACTTTCCGCGGTGCATCTACTCATATACGCGTGAAGTATAAATTTTTTTTTTTTAGCTCATAAAATTCATACAAATTACCCGGCCAGAATATAATTTACATTGCTGGAATTCTTACAATATGATGATCATTTTGAATATAAACATCATGGATTTTGCATTAGACATACAAATTTTAGATCTAATGTAATAATTTGGTTTACACAAAGCAAGTATTTTATCTTTTGTGCAAAATATATGAAGTTTACATTCAAAATATTCCCTGACCTGCAAGGAATCCAGAAATGTCAATTATATTATCCTAACTTTAGTCTGAGGTATTATTTATTACTAAACGTTAAAATCTAGTGTTTCACCCAATCATTTCTCAGAGAGGTAGGGGCCAGTGAGCTGGGAAGAGGGGGGGGGATTTGAGTCCATTATTTGAATGGACATAACCTGGCGACTGTATTTCTCTTAAATATTAATTGTGTGAGCATACCATCATAAAATTTAGATGTTATTTTTACTACAACATAGGTATTGTGTCGGAAAAAGTGGAGTTTGGGGGTCGGGCCAGTCTCTATTGGAATTAATCCCATATGTTCTGTTGTTCACTTTACGTGGTTTTCACTTTCCGTGGTACCCTGTGGGTTCAATTGACCGCGTAAATCGGGGTACTACTGTATATGGTTACCCTTTGATGATCCCTGTAAGAAGGTGAAGTATAATATATTAGTCAAATTCATTTGGTATTTAGATTTCTCACACAAGTTGGAGTTGTGCAACTTTGGGTTTTTACCCCTAGACTTGTTGACTGTCTAGTGGGCTCAGACCTGATGTGGTTATGAAATGGGATTTCAGGATCAATCCTCCATTTTTTTTCCCCACAAGGAACAAGTGAGAAAGCTGGTGATAGGAACTATCCCCCGCTCACTTTGGGTGACTCTGGAAGATGATCTCGTTGATTCCTGTAAGCCTGGGGATGATGTCCTGATCTGGTAAGTACAGTACATTAAATTTGATAACTATGTTCTCATCACTGTTAGTAAAATGTGTATGTTTATGCTAATTTGATATCAGTAATAATGTGATGCTAACTAAAGACTAAACTGTGAAGTTGGCATATTTTTTACTGTTTCAAGGCAATATGTACTTATGCATTTGTATTAGATTGATCATACTCTAAGATTAGATCTCTATCCTGTAAGTACAGTAGAAGGAAATGTAATTCCAGTCACCTTCATTATATTACAGTGAAAAAATACACAGGAATGAAAAATATTATAATTTCTGTGAATTAATAATTTTACTAATGTAATGCCATAACCTAGTTGGTAGCTCTCTGGACTCCCAACCCAGAGATAAGGCTCAGTCCCATGGTCAGCTTAGGTTCTGGGTTTGATTTACTGTGGTATATACTGTCATTGCCCTAACCTAACCTGGGGCTTGTCACTTTACAAATTGTTGGAAATTGTATGAAGGATGCTAGTTCTACTTAGCGTAGTGCAGTGCCTTGTTCTTTGTGCCCAATTTTCTAAATTAACCTGAGTCATTAAACCTTCACGAAAGAAAATTTATCCCAAATGAAACTGTACTGCATGAGTTAACCAGTAGACCTAACAAAACAGTGACTGACGTTTCTAAAGAATTTTCTGAGAATAATGATTGCTTGGCTTAATCAACTCCTGACTTTTTCTGTACATCATCGTTTTTAAAATCGTTAGATTTATGAAACAAGGGCCAGAAGATATCAGTATAGCTACCAGTCTTGAATTTGTGCAAGTTAAAGTAATAAGGTTGTGATAAAATATAATTGAAGGAAAAAGAAATGAGAAAAAAAAAAAATCTCAAAACGATCGTACAATGTAAACGATTCCTGAGATTTCTAATTCAGTTGTTCAAGAGTCTTAGGCAGACAATGCTTTGTTGTTAAATTCTTAGCAACTAATGATTAATATAATTAAAATGATCTACATTACTTAAATTAATATTTTGTCATCTTTTCATGTAGTGGAACTGTACACAGGCGCTGGCTTCCAGTAGTGAGAGACTCCAGGCCTAATATTGACCTTGTATTAAAGGCTAACAACATAGCTGTAAGTAGTGAAATTAGAAAATTTTGTGTACATTATTGAAACAAAATTGACATTGTTATATGACGACCTGATGACTCAACTTGTATTTTCAGTGAAATAAAAGAAAACATTTTGAGTTATTGAGGAAAATGAATAAAAACTAATGGTAATTTTCTTTAGCTGGTTGTAACAGTGATCAAATGTGTGTTGAATATCTGTGTGTGAGTACGTTATCTCAACCCTGACCTGTCATTTTCCATGCATCTGGCACCATTCTCATCTTCTATTTTACCTCACTTGAGGTTACAGGTATCCCTTGAACTAACCTTTACAAAAGTGGGAGAGAAGTAAAGGAATACAGTAGAACCTGTCAGTAGCAAACTAATGGGTACAGTGAGTTTCTGTAGAGGTTAAGTCTTGGGGGCATGTGGAAGTAAGGAGAAATACGTGATATGAAATGTTTGTGCAATGATTTCCATTAGAATGTTGTATAAATACAATATTATGGGTAAATATTTCCATGGTGGATATTTATACAATACATGTGCAGTCTACAGTTTATAGATTACCTTATCTTTGGAAATGCAGCCTAGGTTTTGTAACTTCCCCTATCAAACCTCTCTTTTAGTCATATTTTCAGTACTAGCAAACAGTGCAATACAACATGGTCTTTATGAAGTCATGCTATCATTCTTGGAAATATCATAGTATGGTATTTGTATATGATACAGCTTATCTTTTTATTTTCAAGTTATATTACAAATTACATATAGTATTGTATTTTTTCTCTATTACTGAAGATGTTATATTAATCATGATGAACCATAAACCATAAGAGGCCAATCATATGAGAATATAATACTGAATCAATAAATACAGTAATTACTCGCTTAACATCGGGGTTATGTTCCTGAAAACGCTACGTTATATGAAAACGTTAAGTGGATCAATTTTCCACATAAGAAATAGATGAAATACGGGAGTTGCATTCCTGAGCCTCCCTTTGCCCCATGAAATACATTACATATACAGGTTGACAATCCATTATCCGAAATCCTTGGGGCCAGAGGCATTTCGGATTTCGGAATTTTTCGGTTTTCAGAATGGTTATTTTTTTTTTTTTTTACATGTGTATTAGCCCACCCAGGCATAGATCACTGACCCACATCAGGGCCTGGGAGGCGAAAATATAATACAAATTATAATAATAATAATAATTCATAGGTCTAGGTCGTGTTTCTCACTTTTGATCTTTTTTCAATCTTGTATTTATTTATTGTTATTATTATTATTTTATTATTACAGTATTATTGTTATTATTATTGATTTTATTTATATATTGTATTATTATTATTATTATTATTATTATTATTATTATTATTATTATTATTATTATTATTATTATTGTTATCATTATTATTTTATTTTGGTGTATTTTTATTAAAATTTTTATTTCTAGGAATAATTATTATTATAATTATTATTAATACTACTACTACTACTATTACATTTTCGCCCCCCAGGCCCTGATGTGGGTCAGTGATCTATGCCCGGGTGGGCTAATCCCTGTTTAAAAAAAAAATGGCCCCACAAAAAACTTTCGGTTGTCAGTGCTTTTCGGTTTTCGGAATTTCGGATAAAGGGTTGTCAACCTGTACGTACATAAATTCAAAGCTCCTTATGTGATGCTTAGTGAGGTGCTTTTATGCATTACTGTAAAGTCACATTCATTGAGATTTTATAAGCTTAAAACTCCCTCTGTATGACTGATACATACACACTAGGTAACCTTCTCAAACCTTCCCTGCTGCTGTCTTAATACATCACCTCCCCCCTCCACTTCCGGCAAAATTGAAGGTGGCTTAGGCTTAAACTTTTTATCTTGTAAAATATCACAGACTAAAGTTAGCAGAATATAAATTGCCTTGCTGGAATCCTTGGAAGACAGCAAATAATATCAATACAGTACAGTGATCCCTCGGTTAAAGAAATTTCGGTTAACGAATTACCTTCCATATGATTCTTCACTTCGGTTAACGAATTCCTTATGAATTTTTCCCAACATGTTTTCGCCTGCTTTTGCCTGCTCACCAGCTGGAGTATTAGTCCGCCAATACAGTAATCGGTTTTGGGGCTTAAATTCGTTACCATTTGAGTAAATATCAAGAAGGTTGTACTATTCAATAATTTTCCAAGTCTTATATTAAAGTTTTTAGTCATTTTAACAATTATTTAACATAATTGAAGTACAGGGAACTAGTTTTTAGTGCGCCAAACAGCCACTTGACTCACCCAGAATGGCGCCAGTGTGTGTCCCTGCTCAGTGGAGGAAGCTTCTTGCTTCAGACTCTCTTGAACATAAACTATTTTTATGTTTTTACAGTACAATTATTGGTAATTCTGAAGTTTATTTTACATATTGACAATATATAATGCAGTGCAGTGTTGATTTAAAGAAAATAATCTTGAATTACACCAAGTGAACTAAAATTTTATGGGTGAAATGGCAGCATGGGGTGACTTCTTTTCCATCCCCACTTCCTTCTCTTCTCCCTTCTCCTCCACCCCCATTCTAATTCCCATCATCATCAACCAGGAGCCTTCTACATACACAACTCAAAGTAAGTGTACTTTCCTGCATTTATTTTTAGTTTACGTATACTCTGTATGTAATTTTCGGTGAGCTGGAACTAATTACCCAAAATCCCATTGAAACAACGGTTTCGGTTAACGAACGACCTTCTGGAACGAATTGTGTTCGTTAACCGAGGGACCACTGTATAGACATCAAATATTTTGTATAAGAGATAAAAAGTTTAGCCCCTTAAGTACATTTAAATATTGTACAGTTTTTATACTTATTTTTTGGTAGATATAGTAACTTTCTTCATTTATTTTTACTCATTTACATGCACACACCATCCTAAATACATAGTGTCCTAAGGGCAAACCTGTACTGTACTCAAATGTACTAAGCAATGACTAAAATGTTTATGTGTGGTGCAAACTATAGCATGTTTATATTCAAATTAATCACTATCTTATAAGAATTCCAGCACTGTAAATTACATTCTGCCAAGTCAATTCCCCTAACTCTACCATTTACATGCATTCTTATGAGAAGCAATGATTAGACAAACGACTTTATATTGAGTCGTTGGGACGTTAAGCAAATTATTGACATCTAAAGAGTAGCGACTTTGTATCAAAACAACGTTAAGCGGGGCGACGTTATAAGAGGATTTACTGTACATAAACCAGACGAATGCAGCAACACCTGATCAGCCCCAGCCTGCTTACATACTCAAGTGTCTTAGTTCTCAGCAGGCCTATAACAAATCTCATTAGACCACTGTACAGTATTCATTAAGTGTGGTTAATTTCATAAGATTTGTTTGTTAATCTTCCCCGTATCTTAAAAGATTAATTATTTTTTTAAGTATTACTGGTGACCAGAGCATCACAGAGTCCGAAAAAGGCGAATTCCGATATATTGAAGTTCGATTTATCAATGTTTTACTGTACTCTTAATTTTGCAGCACCTGCTGTTTATGTGCTCGATAATTTATCCATTTTGCCATGGCTAGCAAATGGCACTGACTCATTAAAAGCTTCTTTAGTCATTCAGGTTTCTTTCAATTCTCAAATTTGAAGGTATCTTTCATTCATGAACACCTTGCATGGAAAACAAGCCCCATAGCACTCACTGACCTCATAACTAAGCCAAGGTTGAATCTTGTACCTTTCTGGATTGAAGTTCCCCAGTGTAGTCTCCTTCCTGAACTTTTTTGGACTGTACTTTTTCAAAATTGGTTGATTTTGACCTGGCTGATGTTCTACAGATTCAGAATAATGTCTAGCTGGATTATGTAGGCATGGCCATTCATAATCACCATATTCATTACTTGAACTATCAGTACAGTGGTCCCTCGGTTAACGAACACAATTCATTCCAGAAGGTTGTTCGTTAACCGAAACCATTGTTTCAATGGGATTTTGGGTAATTGGTTCCAGCTCACCGAAAATTACATACAAAGTAAAAATAAATGCAGTAAAGTACACTTACTTTGAGGTGTGTATGTAGAAGGCTCCTGGGACAACTATATTTCTGCTAATTATCCCCAATCATATACAACAATAATACTTTGGCGTATATAACTGTAAGGAGTGCCCCAGGGTGTCACACTGGTGTCACCACAACAAACGAAGAGCACTGTTAGGGTCGGTTGCAGTCCGACACACTGCGAAGGAGTTTTGGCCTAGTTCCTAGGGTGCGGACTCGCACAATTTAATCGTGCCGAATTAATAACATCCTGCAAGACAGCCAGCTGGTATGCAGCTACGGGTTCCCGGTGACTGTCGGGTATTCAGCTATCACACACTCTGTGCCTGAGATAGTGATGGAACAGCGTCAGAGTTGTCACAAAATTAACTCAATCACAAACAAATCTTTCGTCTGGCAACGACAGACAATATTTACGTAACATTAATTCTTTGACTGGGTACAGGATAATTTCACTGTTACAACATGAACACTGATATTCACAAAATTCAACTAAGTTAAACTGACTTAATATGGCAGGCGTAAGAACTATACACATACCTGAGATACTCGTACACGAGTTTATATACTGGCAACTCAGGCCTGTGCGCTACACATACCAGAAAGGCTAATCACGCAATGACAGAAATTACATTTAAATCAGCTGTGGTACATTCAACTATGAAAATCAGTGTCATAGGCCTGGTGAATTTCTTATGTCTATTTTTATAATCTAATCAGAGATTGAGCTTACCAGGAAAAAGTGAAATGGGCATCAAATACACACACTGTTAACTTCATTCTCACAACATCAGCGGGATTTCAGACAAGGACCCTCTATGTGTATTCGTTGAGATCTTGGAGATTTAAAGTTTGATAGAATCGTTCCAGAGATTAATGACTTTCTTGAATAGACAACTGACACTAACTAACTACAAACATCAGATTCTCTGAAGTTTGGGCATCAAAATAATCTAAC